TTTTAATGCTTTTGTATTTTCTCTGTTGAACATGTGCTCCTTTTGACATCTTAAAAACATGACTGTTCTTATTTAGGCATGAAATATTGGCTACATGCTGAATGAACCATCGAGGTATTGAGTAAGGGCCAGGCCAGTGGGTATGGCTATCAGACATGAAAGTGGCTCGATGAGGCTGAGAAAATGTTTTTGTTGATTTCTGAATTGGGGGCTCTGTTCTGAAAGTCTCAAAAAAGCTGTTATGGAAGGAGAACTATTCTTTGCCTTAAGGATTTTAGTCTTGCTGGAGAGAAAATAGCCCATCAAACTATGAGAGAGCACAGGAAGGAGGGGGTGTCCATGTGGGCCCCACAATGACAAGAGGCAGGAGCTGTGTGTGGGCAGCTGGGCCTTGAAGGGCAGATGGAAAGTCAATAGGAGGAGGAAAGGGGGTGGCAAGCGGTGGCAGGAGGAGTTTCCTTCTGCTCCTTCCCTAGAAATCCAAGCCGCTTGTTGTAGCTCTGCTTGGACCAATGAACCCCAGAAGCTGTGTGCTGGGTCAGAGTAAGTGTTGCCAGACCATCTGTGAGGAGTCTGACCCAGCCTGGCATGCCATAGGGATAACCATGGAAGGGCACGGCCCTACCCAGCACCAGCTGGGAGGGAACCTGCCTAGCTGCCCATTGCCCTGAATAAATCTGGGTTACAGCTGCCAAAGCAGTTTGTCCGGTGCTTGTGCTGTCCTGCTGAGCAGCCCGGTACTGGCTGGGCAGGAGCGTGGAGGGTGCACGAGGTATGGGCTAAGGCCTCACCGTGGCATCTGCTGTCTGGATAAGAATTCCAAGTCTCCATGTGTCCCTTTATGACTGATAATAACCCTTGGGTTGTGGGCAGCAGCATACTCATAGGAATACTAAGTGCACACAGTTGCATGTGCCCTAGGCCACCACCCCTACCTCCCCACATACACACACACCAGGCCCTGAGCATCTTTAGATTGGTGGGTCGGTGGGAATGCAGCCCCTGTCCCTTCTTGTCCTCATCCCACAGCCCAGCATGGAGGTGCCATCCTTGTGAAGCCCCATCGTGGCTGACTAGGCTCCTGGCAGCTCCGTCTTCTGGAGTGAGTCAGCCGGATTCTGGGGCCTTTGCTGCTCTGAGAACCTGCCAGAGTTGAGATAAGCTTCTGTCTTCCTGGGTGATTTGGGGAGGTCCATGCTCACTCTGCTTACCCACCCCAGCTTCCTCAGCTTCAAAAGAAGGATCAGGCAGGTAAGAGGAGTCCCCAGCTTACCTCAACCTAAATAAGCCACAAAGCGAACTGTGACAAGGCTTAACTGCCAATTGTAGTTGTTAATGTTGGTGTGTTTTGTAGTTAACTGCCAAAAAGTCTTCTAAGAAGATGAGATGCTTTTATTCATTCATTCAACAGATATTTATTCGTTTAATAGATATGCATGTTAAGTGCTAGAAGAAATGGGAATGGAGAAGAAAAGACCCAGCAATTCCACTTTCATATATATGCACCCAAGATAATTGAAAACATATGTCCACACAAAACTTGTACATAAGTGTTCATAGCAGAATTATTCATAATGAACAAAAAGCAAAACAACCCAAATATCCATCAACTGATGAATGGATTAATAAAATGAGATGTATCCATAGTGAAATATTATTTGACCATGAAAAAGGAATAAAATACTGCTAGATGCTGCAGCATAGATAAACCTTGAAAGCATTCTGTGAAGTGAAACTAACCAGATGCAAAGGGTGTTACTGCATGATCCCACTTACATGGGATGCTCAGAATAGACAAATCTCTATAGATTTTTATAGACAAAAAGTAGATCTAGTGGTTGCCTAGGGTTGAGGAGGTGGTAGATAGAACCAAGGGGGTAAGAGGCATAGAATTTCTTTTTGGGGTGTTGAAAATGTTCTAAATGTAATATGGGGCTTACCTCTGTGAATTCAACTCCAAGTTGAGGGGTGGATGAGCATCACTCAGTTGGCTGGGCTCTGCCCTCATTGCTCCCTTTGGCTGGTATCCCAGGGGGCGTTTTGATTGTAAGTGGGCTTGTTGTGGTGGCTGCTAGACTACAATAAAGCCTCAGTTTCTGTAGATGAAGGCTAAGGCATGAGGTCAGACCACGTGCAGGGCAGTGATTCCTGTAATTGCTAGAAAATCAGGCTATCACAGGCATTTACTCCTCCTTCTTCTGAGCCCGTGAAGGATGGATTGGTGGCAAAGACACATGGTGTGACCTGATAGGATATGCCCCTGTTCCACAGCTTCCCAGTTTCCTCAGTCCTGCCAGACAACATCTGGGCAAACCAGCACAATCCAGCCTCTTTTTTTCCATCACTATCACCCCAAGTAACTCACCTTTGCTCTAAACACCCCTGCATTTTCCTGCAATCATCTCTTTTGTTCATGCTGTGTCTTCTGCCCTAAATGAACTTTCTTCGTCATTCCCTGTTAAAATTCTACTCTTCTGTTAAGATGTGGACCGAACATCATCTCCATTCTTCCCACCATCCAGCATCAGGATGCAACTCCCCCCTTCTGTGACTCCCATCACACCCATTATCCTTTGTGGCTGGGTGACAGCACTGTCGCCCTGCTCATCTTCCTATTGTGGTATTTCTGTCTCTACCATGGATGGTGAGCTCCCTGGGGGCAGGTATACTCTACAATGTCAATATGTATCCTTCATGGTGCCCCATTCAATGCCTTGCACATGGTATGTTTTTAGAAAATGTCTGCTGAGTGATGGTGTAGGCATTTTTCTAACCAGATGGGCTATGTTCTGCAGAAACTCAGCATACAGGAACTCACCATTAATGAGTTTGAAACAAGGGGAACTGATTTCACAAATGGTACCTGTTTGCAAGATTTTGAGCTCTCTCCATCCATTTGCTCACTTAGGGCTGCATTCAGTGGTCAACTTCTGCATCTCTGTATCTCCCTGTGCCTTCCCTCAGATCAGCTAGCACATTGCTAAACGCCAGTAGCTTCTGCAGGAAGTACAGGGTTTGCACCACTACTGGGAGTGCTCTAAGGGCTGAAGAGGGAGCTGCTAAAATTGAGAGATTTTCAGTTCATTATGTTCTGTTCAGTTAAGCCATCAGTGATATTTCTTCTTTAGACCTTTATCTTTTCTGCCAAACATAAAAATATTCCAAGCATTTGCACCCATATTGGTGAATTACAGACAGTGACATGATGAATTTTTTTTTTAGCAGAAAACTGTTGTTTTTCCTCTGTGTGATTTGTAAAGGTCTGTTGTCCTTTTGCAGAGAATTTTATTATATGTTAGTGCCAATTTGTTTTCCAGAGGAGCACATCTCCAAATTTATAATGAAAGGCAAGCAAAGTGGGACTTCATGGCCTTGGCTGGACACCAAGTGATAGCTAATTTTTGCAGCAGGGAAGACGAAATAACAAGTCCCTGGATTGCAATTTTGGTTTCTCCTTCTGTTCTCAAACAAAATTGTTTAAATAATAAACTCTTGTCTTCATCATAATTATTAGTTAATGAATGCATGTCTGTATTTCAAAAGTATATTTTTATTTTTTAGATCTTAAATGTCATCCTAGGATTGGCAAATACCTTTGGGCTGCTGACCTTTGATTAAGTCAGAAGATGCTGGTGAAATGAATTAATAGTTCATTTAGCCAAATGAACTATTGGACAAACAAAAGTCTAGTTGACCAGCTGTTACTCTTTAAGGCTCATGTTAGCGACCATCTGATTTTTAGCCAGTACAGAGAAATGATGAGTATGTCCATTTGGTAGAACGAATGAGTTACATTTAAAACTATATATTTTATATTTACTTGATTAACTTGATTTGCTTGATTATAGACTCTGAAATAAGGAATGTCATTGTAACATAACTCTAGCAACCATTTTGGAATCTCATTTGCTGCCAAGAACAAATGAGGATCTTAATTTATTCAATTTCTTATGTCAGAATATAAACTTTACACAATCCAAAAAACCTCTTCCCATGTCTCCAAATGAGGATCTTAATTTATTCAATTTCTATGTCAGAATATAAACTCCACACAGCCCAAGAAACCTTTCCCATGTCTCCCTCACTTCCCTGTTGTGCTTGTTCTTGTCTGCTCAGATCCCTCCTAGTGCGGAGACTGTACCTTGCACACATACACACTCACACATGCACACACACTCCTATCTCCATTCTTTGAGGACTCTGATCTGCTTCAACCTTCAAAGGTGCTAATGGGTTAATTTATTTATCATTCGCCCAAGTCACATACCATATTTCCTCAAATCTAAAATGACATTGATTGCAAGATGCTACATTCATTTATGTACTATTAAAAAAAAAAAGAATCCAGAGATTTGTTAGGCCCTGATGTTTAGAAATGATACAGTGTGAGCCTTGCAATCAATGAAATGTACTTAAATTTTGAAGGGAGGCTTTTGGAGGTAATACCTTAGTGACTCCAATGGTAGAGTGTCAGGCATCTTGGCGGACTGCTGGGGGAGGGCTTTGGAGTCAGATGACTGTGTTGTCACACAGTCACATCATGTAGTAAGCTGCTTATTTCACATCTCCAGTGGGACTGGTTCTAGGTGTGAAGATCCAGTGTATAACAAAGTGAAACATCCACAAGAAACATGTAAGAAGAGGTGTAGATCTGTCCATAGGAAATTCACAGATGTCCTGTGATGCTGCAGAAATCTCATTGACCAGCGAAGCCTGTCACACAAGTGTTCTGAGAACAGTCTATAGTCAATCTCTCTGCCTAGGCACTGGGCTGAGGTAGAGACTTGAGTTCTAATTTTTGTTTTGCTGTTAACTAGTCCAGGGGCCAAGTGTCCTAGGTGGATGGTTTTTGCCCTTCGTCCTCAGTTCCTTATGGGAGGCGAAAGTTAGAGTTCCTCAGGGGAGGCGAAAGACCATGGGCCTTGGGCTTCAATCAGGATAGCTCCACTTTTATGTCTTAGATACTGTATGTCTGTGATTCCCTATTTTTAAAAAATGATCCTCTGCAAAATGAAAGCTTGAAAGTCATTGATAAAGATGAACTTTATCCTTTTTTCTACTGCTAAAATTCTCAGATTTATTATTTCACTTTAAAGAGGTAGATTATAGAGAAATATTAGATGCTTTCTTCTTTCATGGTAGCATCAAGACAGGAGGGCCAAGCGTTACTCATGTGAGAGGTTGTTCTGTTCCAACTGCTTCCTCCTCACTATTCCTGCTGCGGCCTCACCTATAAGTGAGCCCTTGGGAAGGAAGCAGATTTGCCCAGTGTCTTAGTCTCCTATTGCTGCTGTAACAAGTTACTACAAATTAAATGGCTCGAAACAACATAAATGTATTATTTTACAGTTTTTCAGGCTAGAACTCTGACATGGGCTAGAATAAAGGAGTTGGCAGGGCTGCACTTCTTTCTGGAGGCTCTAGGGAAGAATCCATTTCCTTGCCTTTCACATTTTCTGGAGGCCACATTTATTCCTTGGTTTATGACCCCTTCTTCCATCTGGCGAGTGAGTACTTTTCACATCTCCCTGATTCTCTTCCATAGTCACATCTCACTCTGATTCTCTTCTGCCTCCCTCTTCCACGTCTAAGGATCCTTGTGATTACATTGAGCCTGTTAAATTCAGTATAATCTTCCTATTTTAGGATCACTTGATTATCAACCTTAATTCTATCTGCAATCCTAATTTCCCTATGCCATGTAATTAACATATACAGAGGTTCTGGGGATTAGGATGCAGTCCTCTTTGGGGGCCATTATTCTGTCTTCCACACCTAGAAATAGGAGTTGTAGTGTGACAGGGCTCGTGAGAATCAGAAAAAAAGAAGTGACACAAAACAAGCTGCAAAGCTGTAAGCTAGCCTATTTTGAGTTGTGACCTTATCCCCATGTTATTGCTAGATAATGTTTATCAAACAAGGGACTCAGGGAGTAGCACATGAATATTTCATGTGGGATTGGTGTCACAGGCTGAGTTTCCCAGAAGCCAACACAGAAATGGAAACTTCCATGAAGAACATTTATTAGGAGTGGTCTTCGGATTAACACCTTCGAAACAGAAGGAAAATGATAAACAATTTGTGCAGAGAGAGAAGTTGGACTGCAAAGCAGTCTCAGCAAAGGTATCTGCTGACCCCACAGGGAACTCTGAAGGTGGGGTGAGGGTGCTAGACCAGTAAAGCTCATTGGATGTGGGCTGCTCCAGGAAGGGGAATGGGGTGTGACCTTGAGTGAGGCATCTCTCTTCAGCTAAGGCACTTCCTGGAGAAGTCTGTCTGCCAGCAAATCCCCAGCAGCTTGAGGGAATAAGTTCACCAATCCTAAAGAGAAATCTGAGTGGTGCATCCCAATGCCCACTACAAAAGGACTCTAGTGTAGGGAGCTGGTCAATGAACTGGGGGGAACTCTCCAAGGCTTAGGTCCTAGAGCAGAGAAAGTGTGGGTAGGAAATGTAGGGATTTTCCCAGGCAGGCAAAGAGTTGATTCAGAAAGGATATTTTTTCATCTTCTACCTATACCCCAGTCTCTGCAGAACTCTGAGGCTCCCTACCTATAGGGAGACAGTCTGCCTGCCGGTCACCTCCTACTCATCACTGGAATCACAGACAGAACAAGTGGTGGCAACACTGGCCTGAAGATTCCTGACAGTAAGTAGATTTACCCAGAGTAAACAAGAAGCTGGACTGAGTTTGGTTTAATCTCTCACCCCAGAAACCCACATGCTGACAGCAGGGTCAATTCCACAGTGTTTATGTGCCTTGGTGGCTGCTGCTCATGGTGGCTATTTCCCATGATCACATCTGATTATTCTTTATTACCTTGTCATCTAGAGGAGGAAGGCTATCATGATCAATATTCTGTGAATTCATAAATTATTTCACTTCTTCCAGATGAACTCTGTACCACCAGCATTATGACCCTGGCGTCCCTCAGAACTCTACACAGGGCTGCGAGTCTAGGTTTAGCCTTAAGTGAAAGCAGAATAAGTGGCTCCCCGATTCAGGGTCACCAGAAAAATCCTAACCCGTGAGAACCTTCCTACCCTGTTTTCTGATGTCTGAAGGCCCACTATTAGGGCACAAAATTTTCAACTTCAAGCTCTGATCTCAATTAAATGTAGACACTCTCAGAAAGGGTCACTATCTCTCAATGAAAGCACATTTTAGATGTTTTCCTGGGGGAAAAAATGGGATATAAGTAGCAATGCTCCAAGTACCAAAACCTCCCTAAGTCACCTGTGAAAAGCCATTTGGCAATAATACCGAAAGCTTTTAAATGTTCACACTCTGACCTAGCACTTTCACTCCTGTGAATGTAAGCTAAGGAAACTGATCTCAATACTGAAAGGACTTTATACACAAGAATGGGCCAGGCGCCCTGGCTCACGCCTGTAATCCCAGCACTTTGGGAGGCCGAGGCGGTGTTGAGGGGGAAGCACTTGAGGTCAGAAGTTCGAGACCAGCCTGGCCAACATGGTGAAACCCCGTCTCTACTAAAAGTACAAAAATTAGGTGGGCGTGGTGGCAGATGCCTGTAATCCCAGCTACTCGGGAGGCTGAGGCAGGAGAATCTCTTGAACCTGGGAGGCGGAGCTTGCAGTGAGCTGAGATCGCGCCACTGCACTCCAGCCTGTGCGGCAAGAGCGAGGCTCTACCTCAAAAAAAAAAAAAAAAAAAAAAAAAAAAGGAATAATTTATAAAGGTGAAGCTTTGGAAGCCACTTCAATGTTAAACATTTGCGAGATGCTGAGAGAAGTGACAGCGTTATCAACCCAATTTTTTAAAGTCCTGCCATTAAAAATTATAGGTAGGAAGCGTTTGTAATAACACAGTGAAAATGTTCATGTTACAAAGTGGAAAACAACCCTGGATTCAGGTTATTATGTGCGTTTTACCACAGCTGTGTAGAAACAAATCCATACACATGGAAATCGAATGAAGTGAAACGCATGCAAATGGTAATGATGCTGTGCTTGGGGCAGAATTGGAAGCAGTGTTAAAGTCATTTATCATCATTCGTGTTTTTAAAATGCCGTGTGATGGCTGCAATACTTCTGTAACGAATGATGTTTAAGCACGGAGCCCTTTACTGGCCGACGCGCGGGTGGGAGATAGCAGCCGCGCCCACGCTCAGGTGGCGGCTGCAGGCAGGGCCGGCTGGGGCCGCAGAGGGGTCCGCTCCCGACTGAGGACCCTCTGCTCTTCTTGCAGACGTAGGTCTGGCCGGGATTGGAAGCGTCACCCAGCCTCAGGACGGGGACCCGCCGCCAAGCGCCGCCTCCGCGGGATGGTCCTCGGCAGCCGCCGTAGCGCAGAGACGAATCCGCGCGCCCCCAGGCTGCCGGGAGCTACCAGGAGGCTTCCACCTGAGCGGCGCGTCCTCAGGGCTTGGGCCTGGCCTCCTCGCCTGTGAGGTGGCGCTGTGGCAGTGCCCACCTCGTGGGCTGTGTGAGGGCCGAGTGAAATCGTGCATATGCGGTAAGAAAGTGCTTTTCACGGTGCCCTGTCCTAATATGGGCTGCCAGCCTAAGTACAGAGGCACAGTCCCAGCCCAAAGGCCAGTTTCCAGGTGAGCCCCTGTCGGGGAGACCACCAGACGGAACAGTGCCAGTCTACACTCCTGCACCGAGCAGGGGACAGTGTGGACGGCAGAGAGGTCTGAAGTCCCTTTAGAATAAGGATAATGCTTCAGGGTTGTTAAAAGTATTAAATGAGATGATATCTAAAGGGATTAGCACAGTGGCTGATGCTAAAATAAATCATTTTCCCTACTGCCACTGCCCTTAAAACCAGACGCCTGCAACAGCCGGCCGGTACGTCTCCTCATTTGTAAACTGGAGTTAGCAGGTGTGTTGTGAAGATTGAGAAAATTACGCATAGGCAGAACCTGGCGTTTAATATTTGGGAAATGGCAGCAATTCTTTCTTCACTAGATAATCTACAGGCTGCACTGTGGTAGGCACATATGCTTAGCACCGATTCTTATAAGTGCAGGTAAAGAGAGAGAGAAGACTTGTGTAAGTCGAAGGAGCCAGCCGTGTCCAGGCCGCAGCAAAACCTCAGCAGTACTGTACCAGGGCCCTCTTCAGTGAATGAATCTCCTCTTTGGCCTGTTTGCTGTCTGTTTGCATTTGCTGCACCCATCAGTTCCCAGACCTGGCCTTTAAAGCCAGGAGCTCTAGGATGCTTGTCCCAATCCTAGAAAACAAGTACAGCACACACCAACAGCAGCACCCCTAAAAGCCAGCCCTACTGGCAGTGCAGGCCCTGCAACCCGTAGGTAAGTGGGACACTCTAAGCTTCTTGGAGACAGCTAACTCAGGGCCTGATTAGCTTACTCTCACCTCCTCTCTTCAGGAAATCAGACTGTGTAAAGTAAGAGAGAAAAGAAAATTAGCATAAGTCTATTCCATTGTTTAATGACATGTGTTTCACTTGTGTTAAAAGTGAATTGTGGGCTGGCGTGGTGGCTCATTTGCCTGTAATCCCAACACTTTAGGAGGCCACGGCAGGCAGATTGCTTGAGCCCAGAAGTTTGAAACCAGCCTGGCAACATGGAAAAACCCCATCTCTACAAAAAATACAAAAATTAGCAGGATATGGTAGCTCATGCCTGTAGTCCCAGTTACTCTGGAGGCTGAGGTGGGAGGATGGCTTGAACCTGTCAGGTCGAGGCTGCCGTGAGCTGTAATCACGCCAGTGCACTCCAGCCTGGGTGACAGAATCAGTTCTTGTCTAAAAAAAAAAAAAAAAAAAAAAATTGAATTGTAGTACCAGCTACATTTATAGAGCCCTTTGTCTTTACAGTCATGGTGCTAAAGTCTCTGATCTCATTTAATCCTTACAACCACTCTCACAATGCTCTGTCCATTTTACATATTGGAAAACTAAGACTCAGGTTAAGAGAGACTTGTTGAAGGTCACAGTTAGTAAGCTGCAGAGAACCAGAAAGTGAATCTGGGTTGACCTTGACTCTAAACAGTTTGCTTTTAACAACTATACTCCTTTGAACATATTTACCCTATTTTCTTCATTAAGTAAAATGCTTTCTGTGTCTTAATTTTCAGAACCTCTAATAAAACATTTTGCAGAACATATTTTCTAAGTATCCCTGATCCCCACAAACCAGGCTTTCTTCCCTAATCTTTTAGTCATTGCAAACATGTAATAGATGCATGCTGAGTTTGTGAGCTTGGCACCACACATGACAGGCTTTGGTTAGGGAATTCAGCTACAAGCAACCAAACCCTCATAGCCAAAGCCAGGGGTGCTAGGACCCCTGGCCCTGCAGTGGCCCTGATACGGCCTTTCCATCCTCACAGTTACTGGGACAAAACGTCCTATGCTTTCACCCTTATGTGGCTCCAGAGGTAGGATTTAATTTTTTAAAAATCTGCAATACTGCAGCAGAAATGTAGTTATGAGTCAGGGATGTGTACGTGTGTGTGTCTGTGTGTGAAAGCCAGTCTCTCAGCACCAGCTAAAAATGTGAAGCAGCAAGTCTGTGCTGGGAATTGAGGACACCATATGCTTGTATTTCTAGGTCTTCCTAAGAATTATATAACTGCCCCCAAAGCCAGGGGGCAGGAGCAGGGCCAGCCGTGGGAGACGTTTCCAAAGAGGAATGCTGAGGAAGGACTGACCTTGAGGAGACAGGGAGTTTGCCAGGCTGTGGAATGTTCCCAGCCTTGGGGCTTAAACAAAAACTGTATTCAGAGGGTGAGTGCTCTGTTGAGAACAAACCCTATCTGTCTCCTGCTTTGTCTCAGGGCTTCTCAAGGTGAGCCCTTTCTCTGCAGGTTCTGGATATTGAATTTAGAGGTGGGCACAGCTGCCAGAGCAAGGCCCTGGTAATCCTCCCAGCCATCTCTAATTAGCCGACTTCAGGGATCCCCCCACCCGCCGCCCTTCTCCGGAGTTCTGAGGGTTAGGCAGAGGGGAGATAAAAGCTCTCATCTATTCATAGAATAAGGCTGCAGAAAGGCACCCTGGGAGGAGAGCTGTGGGAGGGAATACAACCAATCAACAAAGGTTTATCAAGGGCTCACCCTGTGGTCACCCTTGGGGGAGGGAGGTATCTGATTGGCCCCATCCTGCTGAGGGCTTCTTTACAGTATTCTTTCCTAGAAAACATCCTCCCCACCATCCTCGCTCCCCGCTCCAGATCTTACTTGACTAAAGCCCATTATTCTTATAGGCCTCACTTCAGAGGCCTAAAACCCAGAGCAATGTTTTTCAAGCTGTGGGTCATGACCCATTAGTAGCTTGTGTAATTAATTTAGTAGGTTACATCGAGCATTACTGTCCCCCATACCCTCCAAAAAAACAAAAACCAAAAGAACAAAGGAAATAGAAAAGAGGCTATCTGAGCACACTGGACACCATGAAGTTAAGTGTTGTTTCAGTTATGTGTATACTGGATCATGATATAAAAAGCCAAATTCTTACTGGTGATTGTGATTTAAAAAAAAAAAAAAAAGATTCAGAAACTCCTGGCTTAGAGGCTGCGTCTGTCCGTATCCTTCTCACTGCAAGTGTCAGAAACCCTGGCTCAATCTAACTTAGACGAGGAGGACATTTATTATCTCACTTAAAGGGAAGACTAGAGGCGTTGCAGGCCCCAGGGTGGTTAATACAGTGGCTCAACCCTGCCACCAACAGTACCATGCCTTCACAGTGGGTTTTATCCTCAAACTGGTAGTAAGATGGTTACAGAAGCTCCATGTCATATCCAGAGAACACTCAGTGGGAGGAGAGACAAGAGACTAGATCTTCTCATGTCTCTGAGGAGTGAAGAAATTTTTCTTGGAAGCCCTCTGGCTGAATTCACTTTCTCAGTAGAGAATTGGTCACAACTGTATTCCTAAATCCATCACTGGCAAGAGGGTATAGGAGTCTCATGAGTAGATGAGACTGAGCAGGAGATCCCCCTGGAGCTGAAGGTGGGAGAGAAAGGTGGATACAAAAGTGATCAAAAAGTAGGACCAAATGATAGAATGGGAGAAGATGCTTGCAATATCTAAAACTGACTAATATCTAGAATACACAAGAAATTCCTACAAATCAGGAAAAAGACAGCAACCCCATAGAAAAATTAGTAAAAGATATGAACATGCAATTTATAGAAGAATTAACCCTAAAATCTTACAAAATATGATAAAATGCTCAAAATCATTGTTAATCATCAACAATATGAATTTAAATGAGACTTTACATACATTAGACTGAAAACAATTATTAATAGAAACCTGTGAGGTCTGAGAAAGTGAAAAAAAAAAAAAAGGAAAAAAGGCCAGCTGGATAATTCCAATGATTGGCAGGGTGTGAGGACATGGGAACCTCACGCTGCTGGTGAGACTGTGGACTGGTGCAGCCATTCTGGAGGGCAGTCTGGTCTTCTTGGTGAAATTATATAAATGAATATATCGTGTGACCCACAGTTGTGTCCCAGGGGAAATTCTCACAAAGCGAGGATGTTCCTGCAGTCTTATTAGTGGTGGAAGGGAGTTGCCCACCACTTGAGTGTCAATTATTGTGGAAAAGAATAGGTCAGATGCGGGGCGGGCACACAAAAAGCACTGTGCAGCGGTTAGAAGCAATGGATCAGGGGTACTCATAGCAAAAAAAAAAAAAAAAAAAAAAAAAAAAAAAAAAAAAATCTACTTGGTGGTTATGAGCTTTATTGAAAGGTCATTTTTCTGTTGAACATGCATACTGAGATGTATAATGGGTGAAACGATGTCTGGGATTGTCTTAAAATACTTCTGAAAGAAAGAAGTAAGGATGGAGTAGAGAGACTAGATAAAACACAGTTGGCAAAATGTTGGTAAAATTGTTCAAACTAGGTGATGGCTACATGGAGGTTTGTGATATTATCTTCTCTACTTTTGTGTACCTTAGAAAATTTATATGATAAAAGTTTAAAAGTACATAGACACACACACAAAACAATACCCATGTTGCAAGAACACATTGAAGTAAGAAGATAAACATTAAAATGGTTGGTTACCTTTTAGGAAAAGAAAGGAAGAAGAGCTGAGTGTAGTGCAAAAAAGTGAAGAGTGCTGGCTTAAGAAGCACGTATGCTAAAATTGGAACCACACAGAGATGACCATGACCCCTGTGCAAGGATGCCGTGCAAATTCATGAAGCATTCCATATTTTTATAAGTAAATAAATGGAAAAAAATGTAAAGGAAAAAGGTCCAGAAAAATTGGGATGACCAAGGGGAGGGCATGTACATTTGGCAGGCAACCAGCAGGGCCTGCCTGGAGCCCATCTTTATTTTCCCCAGGAGCCTCCTCCCAACCCCTGAGGCTTGTTAGGCTCCTCCTGTGGTTTTCTGTGGTACCAGGGGATTTTCCTATTCTGGCACTTACCACACATCATCTTAAGACCTGCTCATTGCACTGTCTTCCCCACAAGACTATAACAGCGAGTGGGCCTCTGTGTTTGTTTTGCTCAATTCCATGCCCCCAGCATGTGGCACAGGGTCCACCATTCTGGGTGCGCTCTAAAATCCATTTAGTGAAAAACAGTAGCCAATGTTTGTTGAGTATTATCTCACTTTATTCTACAACTCTGTGAAGTAGGAAATAGTATTTTCACCCATTTGATTAACAAGGAAATGGAGGAGGCTCGGAGAGGTTAAGAGACTTGCCTAAAGTCAGAGCTAAAGTGTGGCAGAGCAAGGATTCAGGCAGACCAGCTGCCATTAGAACCAGTGTTCTCAGTCTCTGCACCATACTATCTTGAAGAGGGATGGAGGCCAGTGGTGTAGAGGAGAGAAGCTAACACACTTGAAATATTTTTCAGTCACCATCAGACACTCCCAAACCAAGAGCTAATGCGGTGGTACAGGCTCTAGGAGCTGTGTGGTTGAGAAGGGAGTGGAGTGATCAGAGAGATGGGGAACACTGGAAAAGAGATTAATAGAATGTGATAGGAAGTGATTACAGTTGAATCCAAAGGCATCTTCCCTAAATTGTTATGGGGTTGAGATGGTAGGCTGAGGCCCAGCTCACACTTATGGGGGTGTCTCTTGCTTTCTAGGTAGTTCTTAATTAGTAGTTCTCAACTGGGGGTGATTTTGCCCTCCAGCGGACCAACATTTGACAGTATCTGAATACACTTTTCCTTGTCACAAATGGAGGGAGAAGGGTGGCTAATGACATCTAGTGGGTAGAGCCCAGGGAGGCTGCTAAACATGCTAAAAATGCACATGTACAGGGTAGCATCCCCCAAACAGATTCATCTGATCAAAATCTTAACAGTGCCGCAGTTGAGAAACCCTGCTTGAAACCCACCAGTTCTTAACCTGAATGATAGTTCTGACCATCATTCTGGTTCCACAGTCTTTCTCTCTCAGCTTCCAGAATCTCTAAATACAAGGACATGGCAAAGACACAATGTTTTCAAGAGAAGCCTGAGTGTGGGCTGGCCCTAGGGAGCCTCACATGATGGCATTTCGTTTGATGGTTCATTACAGCCCAGGGCCACTATACCATCATCCTGCCTTTCTACTGTCTGATGCTTAATCCCAGTGGTGTGCTGGTTAATGTTTAACAACCAGCTCTCTGGGAAAACAAGTCCTGGTTTGTAGCATTTGGCAGTTTCCATGGTGCAACTATTCCAACCTTGGCCAATTTAATATTAGCAATGAGAAGTCACCTTGTTTGCAAAATTACTGAAAATTTAACAGATGAGCTGGTGTGAACCAGCTCCTGCACACCACTGCTTAGACCCCACCTTCCAATCTTTTATGTTGTCATAAGCCACATAAATGTGTACCCATTGAGTCAATGGCTTAACACAATAAAAGTGGATTTCTCACACAATAGTGTGATATGTTGTTCCTGATAGAGTGGTTCTCCCACATGGCCCTCCTCCAAGCAGCAGCTCAGGACCAGGCTCCTTCTGTCTTGGCACTTACTTCCTCTAGAGCAGTGGTTCTCAAACTTCAATATGCATCAGAGTCATCTGGAGAACTTAAAATGCAATTCCCCAGAGTTTCTGACTTAGTAGGTCTGGGATGGGACTTGCAGATGTGCATTTTCTAAACCGTTCCCAGTCTTTGCTAATCTTGCTGGTTGAGGGACACATTTTGAGAATCATTGCTCTGAGGCAGTGATTTGATTTTTTTTTTTTTTGAGATGGAGTCTCGCTCTTTTTGCCCAGGCTGGAGTGCAATGATGCGATCTCAGCTCACTGCACTGCAACCTCTGCCTCCGGGTTCAAGTGATTCTCCTGCCTCAGCCTCCTGAGTAGCTGGGATTGCAGGCGCCCACCACCACGCCCAGCTAATTTTTTGTATTTTTAGTAGAGACGGGGTTTCACTGTGTTAGCAAGGCTGGTCTCGAACTCCTGATGTCAGGCGGTCCACCTGCCTTGGCCTCCCAAAGTGCTGGGATTACAGGCGTGAGCCACCGTGCCTGGCCTGAGGCAATGATTTTTTTACCTTGGCAGCGCATTGGAATCACCTGGAAAGCTTTGTTAAGTCCTGATTCCTGGTTCCACTTCCAGAGTGTCTGTTTTATTTGGTCTAGGATGCAGCCTGACAATGGGGATATTTAAAACTCCCCTGTGATTTCAGTCAACAGCCAATGATGAGAACTGTTGCTTGAGGGCCTTCCTGTTTCTTCCACCATGCATCTGGTGGGTATACAAAGAGAGTGCTTTTTTGTGGAAGGGCTTATGGGCCAGGCCTGCAAGTGATATGTACATCAGGTGAGCTCCTATTCCGTTGCCTAGAACAGTCACATGGCTGTACCTCCACAAGTTGGGGTGAGAAATGTGTTCAAGGTGGGTGCTTAGGAAGAAGAATGGGTATGGTTTGTTGAACAACTAATAAGTTTCTGCCATGCCTATCTATTAGCTACTTATTTGGAATAAGTATACCTAGCTAGCTACTCAAGTGTATGGACCCACAAGAATCTGATGAGTCCACAGGAGTATATGGGAGTCTCTGGCTTTAGGGTATGTTGAGGTAAAAACCTCCAGTGGCAACACAGGGTTCTTTTATGTCCCTAATGGGAAGCAGCTTGATCTAGTGGAAAGATTAAGGCTTATAGATATGTGTTCAAACATACTCTCAACCACTTCTTACAGGCTATTAACCTCTCAATTTCCCTCTCTGCAAAGTGGGGATTGTATTTACCTCTAGCTACTTCATAGGATGAAATGAAATAAAAAGTCCCCAAAATAGTGCTGTAGGCAGTAGTACATGTTCAATAAATGTTGGTTTCCCTTCCCTTAGAAAACATTGCCTTGTTGGCACCAGTGATAAGGGAACTGGATTGGGTGACCAGCAAGGACTCTGGGCTTCTCTCCTGGCACATGCACATCGGGTGAAGAGCTGGCTGTGAGCATTTTGCTGTCTCTTCTTTGGGAGAGAACCCATACACAGAAGATTTTTATAGTAAAGGATGAATGTTTGTTTCTGGGACAATATATAGTTGGCAATAATGTCCTCAGATGCTTGTCATTTTAGCAAAACTTTAAAAACTTGTAACCAGGCTGGGCACTGTGGCTCATAGGTATAATCCCAGCACTTCGGGAGGCCAAGTTAGGAGGATCTCTTGAGCCCAGGAGTTTGCGAGCAGCCTGGCAACATGGTGAGTGAGACCACATCTCTAAAACAAACAAACAAAAACACCGCCAACAAAAACCTACAAGCAGTTTTAAATAGAACAATGATTTATACTACAAAGACATTCTCTGCATTTACCGAATAACCTCTTTAAACAGCTCTTCTTTCCTATGCACAGATTAACTGTACTGCATCAGAGTCCTAAATGGGAAGGGAAGAGATGAGAAGGGATGAGATCCCTGCTTCTTATAGAAGACAGGGCCAGAAGGGACAGTGTTAAAACTTCTGTCAGCTGAAGGACAATCATGAACACAGAGGAGGCCTCTCTACAGCCCACAGGAGGCAAGGGACACATCCCTGTACGCAGACAGCCGCAGCCTGGGGGAGCAGATCTGCCCATTCACCTAACAGGAGAGGCAATGCCGAGCTTGCCTGGGATTAGAGCCTCCCACCTTCTTGCTCCCCAGTTACACAAGTTGCAGCTTGATCACCTGGCAGCTCCTGGGGGCAAATCCATTTGAGTAACTGTTCAACAGCATGTGCTTAATTTCCAAGAAACTTTCCATGATCTTATGTTTTAACACCAACTCTAACCTTCCCTGTTGTTTTTCATAAAAACACTCCCCTTCTCCTATTCTTGGCCCCTGCTAGTGCTTTCTACCACCACAGTGAACTGCCCTAGCATGTTGGGAGC